CGCCGGGTTGGGCCGCCGGGTTGGGAGGGGGAGGAGGGAAGGGAAACAGCCAGCGAGGGGCGAGCGGAGAGCCCGCTCGCCCCTGGCTTCACTGCGGGGTTGGGAGGGGGTAGGGAAACAGCGAGGGGCGAGCGGCTCTCCGCTCGCCCCTGGCTTCAGTACCGGGTGGGGGGGGAAGAGGAGCTGGGGGGGAGATGAAGGGGGTGGAGGACAGGGGGGAACCAGCAGGATGGGGGGGTACTTCCCTCCTCCTGCTGCTTCCTCCTCTGCCTCCCCCCCCCGCGAGTATCGCGGGTCCCCCCTTGTTAGATCTAATACTAGTGTTCCCTTTAAGCTGAGTTAGTGTGAGGTAGCCTCCAGCCGACACATTTTTGTCTTAGCTCAGGAAGGATGGCTCCAGAGCAGACTAATTTATGCAGTAGCCAAATTGCTTGCTCACACCTTTAATGCCAGTAACTCACAACGTAGAATTTTTGTTCACAAGACTCCACAGCTTAGAGGAAGCATTGGTTACAACAGTTATTTAAAAAATGTGTTGTTTTTTTTTTTTTAAGACATCTACCATAACCTAAATCTTATTGGCCCAAACAAAGTAACACATTTCTCTTCTTACAGTCTCTCAGTAACATTTTGCAATTTTAGTCCACAAATCGTTCCTGCACTATGCCATTTTCCATGGCTGGCTTTTATTGTTTAGAATCATAGAGTTGGAAGGGACCTCCAGGGTCTAATCTAACCCCCTGCACAAGGCAGGAAATTCACAAATGCCTCCCCCTCCACACCCCCAGTGACCACTGTTCCCCACCCAGAAGATAAAAAACCTCCAGGATCTCCAGCCAACGTGGCCTGGAGAAAAATTGCTTCCTGACCCCAAAGTGGCAATCAGCATTTCCCCGGGCGTGTAAGAAAGGGCTTCAAGAACTAAGCACTGATGCAACCCTGCCTGCCCTCCCTCTTATGGATCTAAGTTCACAGAATCAGCATTGCTGTCAGACAGCCATCTAGCCTTTGTTTGAAAACCTCCAAAGGAGGAGAGCCCACCATCTCCTGAAGAAGCCTGACCCATTGAGGAACTGCTCTGTCAGGAAGTTCTTCCTAAAGTTTAGCCCATAATTCTTCCAATTTAATTTCAACCCTGTACCATCCTCTATATGACAGCCCTTCAAGTACTTGAAGATGGTTATCATATCACCTCTCAGTCGTCTCCTCTCCAGGCTAAACATACCCAGCTCCTTCAACCTTTCCTCATATGACTTGGTCTCCAGACTCCTCACCATCTTCATTGCCCTCGAGACCCATTCCAGTTTGTCTATATCCTTCTTAAATTGTGGTGCTCAAAACAGAACACAGTACTCTAGGTGACATCTAACCAGAGCAAAGGAAAGCAATACCATCACTTCGCATGATCTGGATGCTACACTTCTGTTGATACAGCCCAAAATTGCATTTGCCGTTTTAGCTACCACATCACACTGCGGATTCATATTCAGTGTATGGTCTACTAAGACCCCCTAGATCCTTTTCGCACAAACTACTGCCAAGACAAGTCTCCCCCATCCTATAATTATGTATTTGAGTTTTCCTACCTAAATGCAGAATTTTACATTTATCCCCATTGAAATTCATTTTATTTGTTTTAGCCCAGTTTTCCAGCCTGTCAAGAACATCCTGTATATCTTGACTGTCTTCTACCACATTTGCTATCACTCCCAATTTAGTATCTTCTGCAAATGTAATAAACATTCTCTCTATTCCTTCATCCAAATCATTTATAAAGATGTTGAACAAAACAGGTCCCAGGACAGATCCTTGAGGCACTCCACTTGTCACTCCTCTCCAAGAGGATGAGGAACCATTAACAAGCACTCTTTGGGTGCAATCTGTCAACTAGTTACAGATATACCGAACAGTAAAAGGATCCAAACCACATTTTACCAATTTGTCAACAAGAATATTATGTGGAACCTTATCAAAAGCCTTACTGAAATCAAGATAAACTATCTCTGCAGCATTCCCCTAATCCGGCAAGGTAGTAACTTTCTCAAAAAAAGATAAGGTTAATCTGACATGACTTGTTTTTGAGAAACCCATGCTGGCTCTTAGTAATCACAGCTGTCCTTTCTAAATGCTCAAGGACTGTCTGTTTGATTATTTGTTCTAAAACTTTCCCAGGTATAGATGTCAAGCTGATGGGTCAGTAGTTACCGGACCTTCCTTTCCCCCCTTTTTGAAGATGGGGACAACATTTGCCTGCCTCCAATCTTCTGGTACAACCAAGATTTCTCAAAAATTATGGACAGAGGCTCAGAAATTACATTTGTGAGTTCTTTTACTACCCTTGGATGCCCCAAGGACTTAGTTTCATTTATTATTTATTTATTATTTCGATTTCTTAAAGAAACTAGGTGTTTATGTACTACCACTATGCTGATCCTAGGCTGCAACTCCCTTCCTTCATCATGTGTTCTGTTTTTGCCATGTTGAGCACCATTTCCCTCGCAAGAGAAGACTGAGGAAAAGTAGGAATTGAGCAGTTCCATTGCTGAGCTGTTTGTCATTGTTATTCAGTTCCACAAAACATGCTAACTTAATATATATATTTCTTCATGTTAAGAACAAAATGTTACATCATTTCTATAGAACAAAGTTTGAGTCCGGTGGCACCTTGAAGACTAACAAAGTTTTATTCTGGCTATAAGCTTTTGTGTGCATGAACAGTCTGTTGGTAATAAAAATGGGCAGAGACTGAAAAGTTCTCTGTAAAATCTGGAGAAAAGTAGGAATGCATTCTACTAAAGCATACCCTCTTCCTTCAACTGTGCTCTACTGTTTTGATTACCTGATTCATTCCTCCCAGCAACATTTTATAGAAACATTCGCATACACAAAATGAGAAGCATAGATTTAATTTAATGACATAAAAATATTCATAATGCTTTGAGACTTCACTGACATTGATTTCTTATAGTTTAAATTGGGACTTTCATTCAACTTTTTTCAAATCTGCAGTGTCCATCAATCAGCATGTGGCTTTCCATAAAAGCACAAGCTATCCATATTATGGTTACAAAATGGAAACCAGCAGAAATATAGCAGCAATGCTTGTAAACATAGTCCAATGTGTACACCCTTTGGTCCAAAGTATACCAGAAAGCCATAAATCTGGATGTGATGCTGCTGAAAAGGTGCTAAAAGTTTTCTACGCTTACTCTTCACAGGACAAACACTTCAAATATATTTCATTTTCGATTTCAGTAATAGGAAAATGGTGAACCACCAAAGTCTTGCATCTCAGAATATACGCATGGAAATGCACAATGTTACCCTGGAATAGAAATAATAAAGATGAGTTCTGAAAGATAAGAGAGAGATTCAAAGGAGCTGGAACTCATTTGACAAGGAATATGTACAGATACTTCTTTTAAAGCATCACAGTAGTGCACCCCCCTCTTTTGGCCATTTTAAGGGCTACACATTGGCATTACAAACTGGGGGTTCAGTAGAGGGAAACAGGATATTTATAATGTGGAATGAGCCATTTCACAGGATGCCCAGCTGTTTGTCTTTAGCCACCCTTCAGCATGTCATTCATGGGATACCCGATCCAAGGCCACATAGAAACTCTTTTTGTCATCCAAGCAGTGCCAGCCAATAGGGCCAATTTCACAGTCTGCACAGATCAGAAACTTTATGTTTCCAACATCCTTGGTAAAGCCAACGTTTTCAAAAGAGAACATGTCATCAACCAGCCAATGGTCTTGCAGAACGTCTCCATCTGGGTCACTGCTTGCCACCAGTGCTGTCTTCTTCTTCATGGAGGGAAGGAAAAGCTGTTAAATAACAAGAAAATTTATCTGTTACCTTGAAACCAGCAATGTGATTAACACTCATTACAGCTGCCAACCTCCAGGTGTGGCCTGGATTTCTCCCCAAACTACTTCTGATTTCCAAACTATAGAGGTCAGTTGGCATGGATGAAACAGCAGCTTCAGATAAAAGACTCTGTGACATTCCCTCTGAGCTTTCTCCCCACACTCCACATTCCCCAGACACTGTTCCCAAATCTAAAGGAATCAGCCAAGGCAGAATTAACCTCTCCCCTTCTAGAAATCTCGCAGGCAAGGAAGCGCCTTCTTCATCCAGGGAGGAGGCCTTTGCGCTCCCTACCTCTCTGCGGGCGAAGATTGCGGTTCCAGGCAAAAGGACGCGGGAGCCACAACGCTGGCACAGCACTGCCTTGCGGTTCCGGCCCCGCGCGCATACCAGCTCCTCCGGTCCAGCCGCGGCGGCCACCGCCATCTCCGAACCGGGCGCCGCCATAACCGCGCAGGCGCAATTAAACAAAGGCGGGGCGATGCAGAGAGATCCCGACGTCCTTCCGAGTTCTCTGCAAACGCGCGGCTTTTTGTGCGCTTTCTTGCTGACTCCGCGCGCTTCGCTGTCCTCCGTGCAAAGCCTTTTTGCAGCTGCGCCCGTCCCTTGTGGGGTCGGCCTTCCTCATCCAGTCCAGTCCCCTCGAAAAGAAAGCGCCCCAGAACCAGGAACTGCGCCGGCGGGGCGGTGGTGCATCTTCTAGAGATTAGCGTCGAAAAGCTACGACCGCGCGGTGTATGATTTGCAGCGACTGTGTGAAAACGCAGTCACTTTCATGGGTTCCGTTAAGCGCTTCAGTGCAGCGCTTGGACGACTAGCAAGGAAGCTTTGCCGCACCGTCTTGCGCGCTCTGGTGATCCTGACATTGACCCCTGCTTGTGTAATGTTCTTAGGTCCGTAAGTGTGGAGGACAAGAATGAATACTATTTTACGGTATTCCTCCCTTAAAGTACTACCTGGCTGTTCTGGGATCGCCCTTGCCCTTGCCTTCAAAGCCCTGTCGAGGCTCCTTTAGAGATCACTGCCCTTCCCCAGCCACATCTCATTTTCCAGACCTTGCTAAAAACTCACCTTCTCGGTCAATACTTTTGAGAGACGTGCTTAGTGCTGTATTTCCACCCTTCCCCAGCCACATCTCATTTTCCAGACCTTGCTAAAAACTCACCTTCTCGGTCAATACTTTTGAGAGACGTGCTTAGTGCTGTATTTCCATAAACGGCATGAGCACAGCGATTGTCCACAGACATCCTTATTGTACCTAGCAGGCTTTGATAGTCTGGCCTCACTTAACCTCATTCCATTCTACACGTGGGTCTTTCTTGCAGTAGTCTCTTTGCAATTCTTATATCCTGCCTTTCCTAGGGCAACTCATAATTTAAAACCAAGACAAAAATCTAGCAATACAGCAAGAAACAATGGAGGTTTACAGCCCAACAGATTCATCTACATTTGTCATTCACAGCAATTCACCAGCAGTACTGTTCAGAATGCACTTTTGTCAATTTAGAATTCACTTTGTCTCCTTTTCAACAAAGGTTTTACCAGCTCTTTGACAAGATAGGAGGGAGGGTACTTGGATGTACCAGCAAGGGCAAAAAGCCCAGTTTCTAACCAAGGCTAGTTAGATTATCTTGAAGAGATGGACAAGATGGGCATATCTAAATGTGCAAGGATTTATACCATGAGAGGCGCTTGCAGCATTCAAGAAGAGAGGGGTTGTGGCTCAGTGGCAGAACATCTACTTGGCATACAGAATCCCAGATATCTCCAGTTTAAAAGATCAGGTAAGAGGTGATGTGAAAGATCTCAGCCTGAGACCCTGGAAAGCCACTGCTAGTGTGAGTAGACAATATCGACTTCAATGGACCAAGGCCCTTATTCAGCTTAAGGCAGCTTCATGTATTCACCTCCCTGCCATAATTTCCATACTTTCCCATGGGAATTTCAGTTATATATTATAGTAGATACACTGGATTACGAAATAAAACTTCAGTTTCTACTATGGCCAGATAGTCCACTTTTTTTTCTTGAAGGGCACTTTCACACATGCTAAAGAATGCAGTTTCCGTCCACTTCAGCAACTATTTGCAAGTGGATTTTGCCATTTTACACATTAAATCCATTTGCAAAGTGCATTGAAAGTGTGTTATTTAGTGTGTGTGACAGTGTCTCTCCATAAGAACATAAGAGAAGCCAATGTTGGATCAGGCCAATGGCCCATCCAGTCCAACACTGTCACACAGTGGCCAGAAATGTCAGGTGCCATGAGGAAGTCCAGCAGTGACAAGGGACGGGGCTGCCTACCGGCACCCAGGTGACAGGCCTTGCTGTTCTCGGCTCCTACTTCCAGGCGGTCTTCAGGTGTCGGCGTTCAGTCTCTGGTGTCCTGGAGCAGGTCTTCCAGTCCGGTGGCTTCCTCTGGCGAGCCCATCTTGGTGCGCGGTTCCTGTCAGCTACAGCTCTGGCTAACGTCCATTTCCGGCTCCGCTGCGCCTGCGCCGCCACGTCTCCACCTCTGCCGGATTTCGTTATTTGATGTTGCACTCACTGGCCACCAGGACTTACTTCGCCAACCTTGCCGCCGCTCCGCTGCCGCCGATGCTCCTGTCACACACCTCACACGGAGGAGGGTGCCCCCTGCCACCTAAGGGCAGGTACCCATTTATCTACTTGCTATATTTTTATCCCGGTGCTTGCAGCGGAGGTCCCATCAGCGGTTGAGCAGGCATCGGCGGCGTGGGCAATCCCGGTGCAGGAGCAACTTGTTGCTGCGCGGCGTGTGCGTCAAGGAAATTAGCCATTCTAACGTCCATCATTCCCGGCAGACCTTCCATCACATCCTGGAATGCCCGCATTAAGTCTCTCACCGAGTCTTCCAGTTCTGCTAGTCGTTCCCCGGTAGTTTCCTCCGGGATGGGGTCCCGAGGGCGGTAGTCCGGGGGTGGGTCATAGTCCTCTTCCGTTTGGAAGGCTCCGGTGCCCTCCTCATCTTCTGCGTGACCACTCGGTCCCGACGGCTCGAACATCCACTCCTCGAGGTCCTGTTTGGGGCTCCCCTTCTCCGAGGTAGACCCAGGTTCCGGGAACAATCCCTTGTCAAACAGACTCTCACGTAATCCGCTCCCCCGACGGGAGTACACCTCACGGGTGCCTTGGGTGTTGTACATAGTCCAATCATCCTGCTGGTGAGTCTTCCGCGGACCCCATTGCGAAGGGGTCGGAGGCGGCCAAGACAGATGTGCAGGCAGGCGGGGAATCGTTCCCCCCACGGCACCCTCCATCGAGGCTGCAGTCGTGAACACCAAAGACGCGGAGGTTTGTGGGACCGATCCCGAGTCCCCCTCCGTGTTAGGTAGGTTTCCCTCAATTCCGCTCATGATCTTGCCAGATTCGGAACGATAGGAGAAAGGGAGTTCTAACAATATGTTGGATCCCCAAGCATCGAGAATAAATCCACGTTTTCAAGAAAAGCAAAATTTATTTCAAAGCGTTGAAGACATACTCAAACACGTTCTTTGTTAGAACTGGGGATACACAGTTAGGTCAAGCATAATAAAGGAACTTCAAACAGATACAGATCCAATGAATAGCATTCCCGCTGGCGGGCTAATGAAACGGTTGCGCGCCCAGTCCATGGGAACCAGGCAGAACATCAGACAAAACACAGGTGCAGTACTCATGAGAAAAGCAATAGGCAAGCATTACAGCATCTTCTCCCCCACACAACCTCCAGCAGTTATCTTGTGCATTCCAACGCAGGAGCAGGATGATAGAAAACAAGCCGGGTGCAACAGGGAAAGGATATGTACACAGAGGTCACAGAAAACAGAATGGCAGCTTGCTGACATTCGGACCCCATCAATGTGTATTTATAGTTAGGATTTTTGGCTCCAATGTGCATCACTTTGCACTTGGCCACATTGAACCCCATTTGCCACATCGACACCCACTCGCCCATCCTCCACAGATCCCTTTGGAGTGCCTCATGATCCTCCCTGGTTTTCATCACCCTGAACAACTTCGTGTCATCTCCAAATTTAGCCACTTCACTGCTTACTCCCAACTCCAAATCATTAATAAACAAGTTAAAAAGCATTGAACCGAGTACTGATCCCTGTGATACCCCACTGCTTACCACTCTCCACTGAGAAAATTACCCATTTATACTCACTCTGTTTCCTATTAATTAGCCAGTGTTTGATTCACAAAAGGATTTGTCCTACCAGTATTATCCCATGACTATTGAGCTTACTTAGGAGCCTTTGATGAAGAACTTTATCAAAAGCTTTCTGGAAGTCAAGGTAAACAACATCTGTTGGGTCCCCATTGTCTACATATTTGTTCACCCCCTCAAAGAATACAAACAGGTTAGTGAGACAAGATCTTCGCTTACAGAACCCATGCTGAGCCTGCCTCAATAGTTTTTGTTCATCAATGTGCTTACTAATTATTTCCTTAATAACAGTTTCCACCAACTTACCCGGTATCGACATCAGACTGACTGGCCTGTAATTTCCCGGATTTCCTCTGGAACCCTTTTTAAAGATGGGAGTGACATTAGCTACCTTCCAGTCCTCAGGAATGGAGGCAGATTTTACACATAAGGAGGCATATGGCTCACAGAGAGTTCTCTGTTTTGTCAGCCTCCTTGCCAGACCCTGAGCGGCATTACACATCTCCCATTCACCACCTGATTTGGCAGCAGGCTTCCTCCCTAGAATGAGCAATGAGGTCATCCTGTACTGTAAGCAAGAACAAAAAGGGCAATTTTGACTGAGTGGTTAAGAAAGCCAGGAATGCATCTGACTGTCAGGGTGACCCTGAATTCTGCATTATGTAATCTACGTACAGTGAAAAGGCTCCCCCCTCCCATTCCTCATCAATTAGCCATGTGCTTTCCCTGAGAATTAGCAGTCTAGACATAATTTGGTCTCTAATTATCTTCTGTTAACATCTCTGAATCCCAAATGTTGTTGGTAGCAGGTCTGCCCAATATAACAAGTTCACCTTTAGTGGGTATTGCAGGAGCTGTGCTACACAATAACTGTAGTTAGTAATGTTCAGCTAAGATGACTTCACTACGACTGCTTAGGCTGGGTTGGTTTTTTTTTGGGGGGGGGAAGGAAGAAGAAGAAGAGATTGGATTTATACCCCGCCCTTCACTACCCAAAGGTGTCTCAGAGCGGCTTACAAACTCCTTTCCCTTCCCCTCCCCACAACAGACACCCTGTGAGGTAAGTGGGGCTGAGAGAGCTCTGACAGAAACTGCTCTTTTTTCAAGAACAGCTCTTATCAGAACTACGGCTTGCCCAAGGTCATCCAGCCAGGTGCAAGTGGAGGAGTGGGGAATCAAACCCGGCTCTCCCAAATTAGAGTCCGCGCACTTAACCACTACACCAAACTGGCTGATGTGACAATTGTTTTGACCTATTTGTTTAGAATAAATATGACTGAAGAAGCAAAAAGAGGAAGTATTGAAGAAGAGATTGGATTTATACCCCACTCTTCACTTGGAATCTTAGAGCGGCTTACAATCTCCTTTCCCTTCCCACAACAGACACCCTGTGAGGTCGGTGGGGCTGAGATAGCTCTTTCGAGGACAGCTCTGAAAGAACTTGTGACTGACCCAAGGTCACACCAGCAGCTGCATGTGGAGGAGTGGGGAATCAAACCTGCTTCTCCTAGATTAGAGTCTGCGCTCTTAACCACTACGCCAAACTAGTCCCTTGAAAAAGGGAGCCAAAAAGCAGAGCTTGAAATGGTCCTCTCAACAAATATTTATCATCCTGGTTTGAAGTGCGACAGCAATACTGCACATATAAAAGCAATCCACCTTGAAGAAAGGCAGCAACAGAAATGAAATATTCACACATACCAGAGATATTTTTATTAAAAAATACATAAGAAATTAATCACAAACACTGGTGTGATAGGACAGAATTCATATACTCAGTGTTGTTTGAAAGTGCATAATAATCTCATGCTACTGTATCCCCAAAGCAAAGAGTCAACAGCACCCAAGAAAATAAATACATTCACCCCTTGATACCTGATAGGCAACACAGAAAGAGGCTCAGTAGGTCAGGGGAAAGAGCTCCAGGGTCATGCTGATAATTTATGGCATGTACATAAAGGATGGAGCTGCAGTATCCACAGGCTCAGGGGTCCATTTCAGCAACACAGGTCTTGGTGCATCTTCACACACCTAATGTAGACTGCATCACACACCAGAAGAGCAGCGAGAAGAAATGGAGTCCTAGATGCCACTACAGAGAGTGATGCTCAGCAAACAATAAAAAAATTCCAGTTCAAGATGAAGGATTCTAAAGTCTTGCTGCAACTGGATCTGGAGAGATGCTCTGCAGGAGAAACTATGTTGGAAATATCTGTATGCTGAGTGCACACAAATTTCCCATGTTCTTACTTTATCACTAAAGCAGGAGTACAAGAAACAGTGTTAAAAATCAGATGAAGAAAAAGGAGAACACCATGGCAACAGTGTTCACACTAGGCATGCAGTCTGAGACCTGTGCAGGGCATCAGGCTTCACTTTCACTGCAATCCAGTGTACAGTTACTCCTGTCGAAGAGAACTGAAATCAGAGTGCTTAGACGGGAATAACTGTGCACAGGATTGTACTGCTTATCTGCAGTGCAAACTGGCTGGTGATTAAGGTGGGTTTGAGAAAAGGTGCTCTGTGATTGTGGGGATGGGCTGCACTGTAAATACACATCCAATCCCTGAAAAGTCAACTGAGCAGACATACCCTTAGAAAGCATACACTGCAGTTTCCCTCCAACCTAGGCACCCATCCATTGTAGCTCAGGTCTCCAAGAACCCCAAGGACACAGTGGTCAATACATTATTTCACTGCTCTGCTAACACCCAAAAGTTCTGTATTTAGAAAAAGATGCAATGTAGAGTCAGGTTTTCATTCACAAGTACTTGAATACCCCCACACTCCAGGAAATGTTGGTGGCCCAACCACTAGAAGACATAAAATGCAACGTTCTCTTCCTGTATAGCTGCCATTCTTCCCCACTGAGTATTACAGCAGCGTCTGGTCTCCATTCCCTCTTCTGTGTTTATATACACCAAGACACTGAGTCTTTGCAGTTCATGTGCCAATCATTGTCTCTGACTCTATCCCACCATTGTGTACAAGTTTGTGCACAGAACCTGAACAAGCACCCAGAAAGCGCAGTCTGCCCACTAAATCTTCACTAACAGTATGTCTGCACTGCAGCATATTTGGTACATGAAAACATTCAAGCACAAACCCACTTGTGGACCCAAACTCTCATCTCCCTGCATGGACTGATGCTTTGGAGAGGACGGAGATGAACTTGTTTAATCTCAGGCATTCAGCAGGTCAGAAGGCGAAGGCATCCTTGCTGCTCCGACATACCATTTTCTCTGGGATAGTCTGGATGAGTATGTAATTCCTCCATGATCACCTCAAAGTGCATTGTGTGTGTGGGTTTTCCCCACCAGGATCAGTAGCTTTGAAGATGAGCTTGTGGGTGCACAGCACAGGGTCAGTGGTCACTGCATCCACACCCACAAGATGTAAGCCCCCTGGTGCTTTCTCCAATAGTCTCTCTGCTCCAAGAAGTGCTCTGACAAGGTCTTTCTTTCCGGACATCATTTCTCCCGCAGTACACAAACACCAGCATCACATCGCTGGGTCCCCAGTGATGTTACCACTTCCCAGCTGTCAATGATGGGGTCATAGCACTCAATACTGCTCAGCAGTGAGTTACCATCATACCTACAAGTGACAAAGGGTGAAAGGTAAGGGCACATTCTTGTAGTCTAGGACTGATGAATCACGTTAAACACAGCAGTAGTTTTTGGGATGGCATTCATCCTTGTTAGTCATGATCATGGAGCTCCTTTATTTTTAAGAGATTAATGTAAGGGATAATTTTTGGTGCCACTAACCCACACTAAGGATCAATCCTCATGTTCTATTTCTGTACAAGTTTGTAGAAGCCAGTTTGGTGTAGTGGTTAAGTGTGCGGACTCTAATCTTGGGGAACCGGGTTTGATTCCCCACTCCTCCACTTACAGCTGCTGGATGGCCTTGGGCAAGCCATAGTTCTGTCAGAGCTGTTCTCTCAAGGACCGTTCTGGAAAGAGCTCTCTCAGCCCTGCCTACCTCACAGGGTTTCTGTTGTGGGGAGGGGAAGGGAAAGGAGTTTGTAAGCCACTCTGAGACTCTGAGTGAAGGGCGGGGTATAAATCCAATCTCCTCTCCTCCTCTCCTCCTCTCCACTTCCATGCAAGGGCATGTGGGAATGATCATACATTGTATATTTTTATCCCACTCTGTGTATCAGAGCCCACATCTCACATACAACATGTGCAGTCATTGAAGTAGTCATTCCTACATTACAAAATATTTATTTGTCCTTGAGTGTGCTCCTGTATATATTAAAATGTAAAAAAATCAGTCCGAAGCATATGAGCCAGGACTGGACAGAAACTGAAAAATAAAATGATCCTCCATCCCTTTCCTCCACAGGCAGGTGGGACTGCAGTCCTGTGTTTTAGGAACTGGAGTGGGGTGAGGGCAGATAATGGACGTGCACAGGGCCTTTTTAAAAATTATTTTAAAGAGGTGCCGGAACTCTCAAGAGGGAAATGAAGTTTTCAGTCTGTAAACTGACAACTCAGGAACTTTAAAAAAGAATTTTGTTGAAGAGGTTCAAGAGGGAAATGAAGTTTTCAGTCTGTAAACTGACAACTCAGGAACTTTAAAAAAGAATTTTGTTGAAGAGGTTCCAGAACTCTGATGAAAGATGTGCTGTTCCATCAAATCCTCCAACAACATAAATATGATCATTCAGCAAGGCTACTCCAGCTCCTAGGAAGAGAGACAAAGGAATGTATTACCAAGGTAAATGAGCTACACAGTCCACAATTATGTATATGCGATATGGCATTCTTGGCGGTGACACCAAGAGCACTGTATATTCACTGGGCTGCATCATCCAACTCTTGTGCAAGTGGAAATACAAGAAAAAGACCACAGTAGCCACTTGTGTTAAGTCAAACTTATTATATCCGCACTTGCGTTTCCGTTAGTGCCAGATCTTGTGCAAATTCCTACGCCATATAATATGTTGGGAGGGAAGCCCTAGGTGTTGCATAAAATGCTGTGCAAGAGCAACTCTGTTAAGTACAGTTATTTTTAGGCTTGTGCATTGCTGGATACAAGGAACTCCTTAGGAAATCCCATCTCACCCTTTCTTTGCTTGCTTGCAGACTCCTTATTCAGAGGGTATTTGAGTTTAATTGATTTTTTCCCTGAAGAACTTGTATTTCATCTGCCGATTGTTTATTGACACATCACTGTGTCTTTTGGATAAGCCTTCAGCTTTTTACTTTTTTACTTGTTTAGTTGTTATTTTTTGATACTATGGTGTGATTTCGATGGAGGGTTTCTTTGTGAGCTTGAGCATCAGCTTGAAATATCAAGCTGTATCCTATTCCTCCCCCCATTCTACTGATGTAAAGCGCTCCCTCCATCTTCAGGACACTTCATCATCAATTAAATGCCGTACAATGGAAATGAATACATTGTAAACCAATGGTAAAAATATTCAGAAACAATGAGAAATTTAAGCCTGTGTTTTCTGAAAATATATGAAACTTGTGTGAATTTATAATGCCTGCCATCAATTAGTATACAAGTGTTCCTACTGCTTAAGCAGCAGGGGAAAGTTAATGCAAACTTTTTACTGAGCTGGAATGGATGAAAGAGGCATTAAATGCTGCTTAAATTAGTCTAATAAAAGTATATTTAAATGCCCAAAACTGCCCTGCAAGTGTGCAGTGCCAGAAAAGAGACTGTTTACAATTACAATGATAACTCAGAGACTCTGGTGGTAGGAGAAGTGACAGGAATAGAAGGCTATTCACAGGCTCAGAAAAACATGGATATGCCATTCAGAAAATTTATTACTTTTTAAGTAGAAAGGTTGCATGAAGATGCAAGACAACATTCTTATACTAAACATCAGACCTTGTCCACTAAACAGCCATCAAAGTTAAAGTTTGCAGTTAGGGTCACTTTTTAACAACTGTGTTCTTTGCACTCTACAACTTATCAAAGCTGGTTTGTACATTTTATTACACTCCTCTACAAATGTAGAGATCAGAACTCTCACCTGAGCGCTTGGTGGCCATTGGAGTGACATTTGTCCAGTGCCCAGTATGGGGATCATATCGCTCCACAGAATTTAAGATGTTCAGACCATCATAACCACCTGAAAAAACACAGAGGATCCAAACAAATATTTCAATTTTTTATTGTTTAAAGGCATCATTCATTAGGAAGAAGACTAGGATCTTTACCAGCTGACATCAGCCCCCCCGCCCAAGGCTTTGAGCACAAATGAAGTCGCATAAAGGAAGAGACAGCATTTACAGTCTAACTGATATAGAGATAGTATACAATGATCAGAGAGCTTATAGAATTAAGAAAATTTAGTTTTTTCAATGTTATACCATTATAATAACTGGTTTATGGTCATCCAAGACAATTTGTCCCATCTGTCCAAAGTACAGTACAGTAAATTTACTTGGATGGTAGAATAATAAACAGCCAAATTCTTTAAAAATCTGCTACAAAATTATTTGAGTTACAGAAATTCAGAAAACTGTCCTAATCTTGAAAACAAATGAGTTTTCAAATATTTTTGTATACCCCAAACACGCTTGTCCCGCTGCGGGCTCCTTCGCGGCCCCTTGGGCCACTTCAGCGGGACTGGCGCGACCCGCGCCAGACCCTCTGGACCAATGTTCCCCCTAAGCTGTGGAGTCCTGTGAGCAAAAATTCTACTTTGTGAGTTCCTGGCATTAAAGTTGTGAGCGAGCGATATGGCTGCTGCATAAATTAGTTTGCTCTGGAGCCCTTCTTCCTGAGTGAAGGGAAAAATGTGTGAGCTGGAGGCTAAGAAACTGTGAGCTAGCTCACGTTAACTCAGCTTAGAGGGAACACTGCTCCGGACCCTCAGTGCGCCTCGGAGGGCGAGACTCCCTGGGAGGGAGGTCTCGGGCGATGCCCGTGGAGGGCCCTTCCCCCCCCCTTTTCTGGGAAAGACGACGGGGGAAGGAGCTGAGACGGGTTCCTCTCCGCAGCCGCCAAGGCCGGAGTGGCGTGCCCGATTGCAAATACGAAGCGGCTGGAAGAGTCAGGGCTTACCCAGGGGAGAATGGTCGAGGGCGCTGCAGACGGCGATGGTGGACTCCTTGAGCGGGCCGGAAGTGGCCGCTCCCCAGTGCTCCCTAGCTCAGGGCATGCTTTCGAGGGAATCACTAGAGGGCGGGACTAGGAAGGGAACCCCCAATAAGGACAGCAGAAGAAGTAATGGACAGGTGAAGGACACAATACAGTGGTTGGGAAAGGAAAGGGGAGGGCTTACTGAGAGCCAGGAGGAGTATAAAAGGAGGGAAGTCAGGAGAGCCGGGGAGGATGTCAGAGGCGACTGGCTCTGCCAGGGCGATAGAGAGAGAGGCGGCTGTCGACCCCGAGGAAGGGGAGGGGGAAGTGATCGAACTCCTCCACCCTTCCCTATCTGAGGCTCTCTCTTCCCTCCAATACCCTCCGCAACCACAGCGAGTGCCCCTCCAAAGCTAGGGGTCACCCCCGGACACGACAACGCTTTTACTTTTTCTTTATTAGGTTTACATTCACAAAAACTCACAAATATTCCAGGAGTCTTGCATTCAATTGTTTGCTGAAAAACTGTTGTTTTATTAACAGTCTTCACAGGTCCCATTTAAAAGTTCACTGAAAGGCAAGTTGTGACCATACTTGTAGTCTATAAAGTAAACCTCAGTTAAATATCTACCATAAAAAATATGGGTGCCCATACAAAAATGGGCTTTCCTGTGGCATCTGACTGGCCACAATTGAAAACAGGATATTGGGCTAGCTGTATCATTGGTCTGATCCAGCACGCCTGCTCTTATGTAGTAGTAGAAATGGTTATCTAGGGAGAGGAATCATGTATGGGAAAGATTGTTTTCAGCTGAAAAGTTGTTAAAGGTACCCTCCCGCTTTGTTGCACAATTGCACAACTGTGAAGCAGTATAACACCTCATGGAGATACATTTCAAAAACTCTTTCAAAATTAACTCCTTGAGGGGAAAAGTTTAGCTGTTTAATTTTGAAGGGGAATATTTTCATCTTGCTTTGTTTCACAACAATAAATTGTGCTTTCCTCTATGGAATGACAAGGAAAAAAATCCGTAAAATTCACTGCCACATCCACCTAGAGGGCTCATATAATTCAGCAATTGTCCATTTCAAAAAACAAGGACATTCTAAAATAAAAAAATCCTCTGAGAATAGAAATAAGTAACAATTTCATTCACACTTCAACAAAAATGGAAGTTCTAAGTTAACACTACCATATTGTGTAAGCTGTACAGACATTGTACAGTCCATCATAAGAACATAAGAAGAGCCCTGCTGGATCAGACGAATGGTTCATCTAGTCCAGCATCCTGTCTCACACCGTGGTCATGGCCAACCAGTTCCTCTGAAGGGACAACAGGGCACAGAGGTCAAGGCCTTCCCTTGACATTGCCTCCTGGCTCTGGAATTCAGGGGCTTGGTGCCTCTGAATGTTGAGGTTCCCCCCAGTCACCATGGCTAGTAGTCATTGATAGACTTGTCCTCCATTCATCTATCTAATCCCCTTTTAGAGCCGTTTATTCCTGTGGCCATCACTACATCCTCTGGCAGCGAATACCATATTTTAATCACTCTCTGTGTAAAGTAGTATTTCCTTTTGTCCACCCCGAACCTACTGCCCATCAGCTTCATTGGATGCTCTCAGGTTCTACTATTCTGGGAAAGAAAGGGGAAAAAAATCTCTTTGTCAACCCTCTCCACCCCATGCATAATTTTACAAACCTCTATCCTGTCCCCCCTTAGTCGTCTCTTTTCTAAACTGAAAAGTCCCAAACTCTTCAGCCTTTCCTCATAGGGAAGGTGCTCCAACCCCCTAATCATCTTGGTTGCCCTCCTCTGCACTTTTTCCAGCTCAGCATTTCATGCTCACTTACAACTGAGGCTCCACACTGTTTTCCCTTGCTCTCTTAGCTGTAGTTCTCTTCCTCTTTAATTTGAGGTGCAGAACTGAATGTGGAGTCTATGCTCTATAAATGTTTAATAAGAATTTGGTTATGTGTCAAAATAAATTACATGAAGTGCCTGTTTCAAGAAACAGATGTAACAGCAATGCTAACCTGGTAGACCAATCTAGAAGAGTAAGGGGAAGTGTAGCTACCTTACAGAACTCTGAGTGACGACTGATGCTTTCTGAGAACTCCTGCACTTCAGTCCCACAAAATATTAACTCCTTTACTCCCATTCCACTTCTATAACGGCAGGTTATTATACCTGGCCTGGAATACTAATGCCACAAGTGCCACCTCTACTATTCCAAGGTAGACACCCCAGGATAGAATGGGATTTGCAAATATATAACTCCTTGCAGAATCTGTTTGCTGGGATGTGATCAAGGCACTAGAATGACACTAAGGCTACCTACCAAGACAGTAGATAACATTGTTAGCAACAACCAATCCAGCGCCTTCTCGAGCCGTCTGCATGTCTCCCAACATACTCCACTGATCAATGTTCGGATCATATCTCTCCATACTTGTATGGCGCCGGCTTCCATCAAAACCTCCAGAAACGTAGATCATGTCTGTAATAATACCAAGTTAAGAACGTGGAGAGCCATTTCATCATCAAGACTATATTTTGACATTATCTTGTATATGGCCTTTGATATACAATATGTGCGTCAGTCCCTAACACCCACAGGCTTGGATCTATCAGAGTGTTCCTATGGATGGAGAGATTTCTGCTCATGGAAGAGTGGCCTTCTCATCTCCCACTGGAGCCCAAAATGTCTCCCCAATGCTGCTCCTTGGGGACAGGAGACCCCTAGGAATACATCTGGGGTTCCAATACAAGGAATTAAACAAGCAACTCACACTCTGCCTGTGAAAAGCCTTCCATCCAAAGAAAAACTTTGGTGAATCCAACCTGTAAGTTAGAGGTGGGCCCACAGAGCTGCTGTTCTTCAGCACTTTAAGAATGAAAGTTTCACAAGAGGCAAGATGTTTGTGCATTCTTTCACTACATCACCTCATACGAATGATTAAAATGAAGTCCACTACAATTACTCATCACAAACAGAAGGATAAAATTTGCCAAGTGCTATATAAAGGAGACAGCTACACTCTATGGGAATATGAATAATCTGTACAGAGTTTCCCTGTGCCATTTTTTCTTACAAGTCTTCCCGGACAGAACTTGTGGATCTCCTGACAAAGATATGTAATCTTTCCTTAAAATCTGCCTCCATTCCTGAGGATTGGAAGGTAGCTAATGTCACTCCCATCTTTAAAAAGGGTTCCAGAGGAGATCCGGGAAATTACAGGCCAGTCAGTCTGACGTCGATACCGGGTAAATTGGTGGAAACCATTATTAAGGAAAGAATTAGTAGGCACATAGATGAACAAAACCTATTGAGGCAGACTCAGCACGGTTTCTGTAAGGGAAGATCTTGTCTCACTAACCTGTTAGTGTTCTTTGAGGGGGTGAACAAACATGTGGACAAGGGGGATCCAATAGATATTATTTACCTTGACTTCCAGAAAGCTTTTGATAAAGTTCCTCATCAAAGGCTCCTAAGTAAGCTCAAAAATCATGGGATAGAAGGACAAGTTCTTTTATGGATCAAAAACTGGCTAATTCATAGAAAACAGAGAGTGAGTATAAATGGGCAATTTTCTCAGTGGAGGGTGGTAAGCAGTGGGGTACCGCAGGGATCAGTACTTGGTCCACTGCTGTTTAACTTGTTCATTAATGATTTGGAGATGGGAGTAAGCAGTGAAGTGGCTAAATTTGCGGATGATACAAAGTTGTTCAGGGTGGTGAAAACCAGTGAGGATTGTGAGGCACTCCAAGGGGATCTGTCAAGGATGGGCGAGTGGGC